GAAAAAATTGTAGTCCTACATGATTTTTCTTATTCCAAAACATTACGATCTTCGATAAATTGACCAACTCTTAACCCTAATATGGATGGCGCCTCACCGCTCGCTGAATTTTTTCTGTTGAGTCTTGTGCATATTTTAAAAGATTTTTTTGAAAATCGGACCTGCAGTTACAAGGTCACGTGAACTTTTGTTTTTGCATGTCAGCCCGAAAATCGCTAATTTTCGTGATTTGTGTACAAAACATATGGTAATGTCATTTTTCCTAAAAATAGATCAAACATTGTTTATTGGGTCTTGTTTGAAGTTTAGGTGGTTGTTTTGGGAGTCAAAATAGTTGAATTGTAGTTAGAAATATAACAAAATTACAAAAACAATAAAATAAATAAGTTAAAAAACAGTGAAATGCATAAGAAATCATCATAACAAGAGCTAACGTAAGGATTAAGCTGGCTCTTCCAAATTTTTTGTCGTATTATTATTACACATGGTCTAAAGAATATATGTAGTGAAAGAGAATGCTTAAATAGGAATAATATATGATTTATGGGTAAAAATGTGAAAGTATCATAGTATTCTATACACTTCACTTGACATGCGTGCAAATTATCGCGGCGATCGGCCGTTTCACGGCCGAGATCTTAAGGGGGCATAATGCCCCCCCCCCCGCCGTACTAGCACCTCAAATAGCCCGGCCTTTTTAGGGTTAGGACTTTTTTTCGATGTTCTTGTGCTTCATATCACTACGTAACTAAGACGACTCGGAACGAACATGCAAATGTATGATATTTCCCCATTACAAAATTGATAGAAGGCGATAAAGAGAGCGAGGGAGAGAGAGGGGGAGAGAGGGGAGAGGGGGAGAGGGAGAGAGGGGAGGGAGAGGGGGAAGGGGGGGGGGGTAAGGAGAAGGAGGTTCTTAAATGCCCTTTACGAATAATTTCAGATTCTACGCTCTTTGTATATATTTTGTTCTTTTAGCACGATGAAACGTTTCCACCTTTTTTTTTAGGGGGGGGGTGGAGGAGGTGGGGTAGAAACTGTGAGAGGTCCCACCTCCAAATTGATTTTAACATGTTTTTAAACTAGGAAAAAAGCTACACTTACTAACTGCATATACCCCATAACCCGCCGAAACAAGGAAAGCTAATATTCGCTTGTTTAAATAATAATATTTCCAAAGAGCAATGTTTGTATATGTTCGTTAAAAGAAAGATACGTTGCCATCCTATATGTACATCTGTATCCATTGTTGTGTTCATCACTTATATATTAGGCATGGTAAGGTAGAAGGGTGGGTGAAAGTGTAATATGTAGAAAAAGGAACACTGTCAAGAATAGCATCCACAGGCATAATGGGACTTAAAGGGATTTGAATCACACTTTTCTTAAGCAATTTTTAAACGCACAAGCAAAGAAGAAAAGAATTTTCAGAACCTCCATTTACATAAGACACAACATTCGTAATATTCACTTTCTCTACAGTACTTAGGATCTTATAACTTTAAAGTAAGTTCATTAGGAGACGAATGAGCGTAGCGAACGAATTGAAAAGACACCCTCACTTGCTTCTACGGCATTGTAATTAATCTTAATCAAGACTTCATTAACACACACAGACAAATCACAACCTACAGTACTTAAAAACGATGATAATGAGATTGAGGATATGCCATCCTCAGCAGATAGAGCTTTAAGCGAGATAAAGCTTTGTGAGTTGTGACAGGAGTGGCGAAATTGATCGTGCCCTACCCCCTTTATTACAGTGAAACACCCACCACAAGCAATTTGCTTCTAAGGGTGTCCTTTACCGTATTATGTTTACTATGTTACTCATTTGTATGTACATGTTTCATTTTATGGTTAAATAAACTTTACTTACTGATAAGAAATATTCCAATTATTAAAATGCGATTTACATCGGTGCGAGCAACAAGAAATAGATTTACTTGTCGATAAAATGCATTTTTTTTTTAGATGGATTACATGTATAAAAATGTTGTTACGCGTGCCGGGCGACAAACACGAGTTTACCTTTCCACCTTTATATAAAAAGCCCCTACCTGCACACTTCCAGGGCCTTGGCATAAAGTGTGTAGTTTTTTTTGAAATATGCTCGATAACGTAACGCCAAAGTTAGAAACATAAATCGGATTTTGAATAATGACATTTGGTATTTCCAACAAAAAAAAAAATGGGGGGGGGGGAGGAAAGGGGAGTTTGGGGCAAAATAATGAGTGTAATGTATCATCTTGTCTAGCGAGAGGTACGAGAAAAAACAAATTCCTTTTCCTTTTGTAAAGATTAGCACTTATCACGAATTTTGACTTTGGGGGCCTGTTGAGAAAGGGTTTATAATGTACACGCAGTACTGCATCACTTGGTTTGCAAGAGAGTGTAGTGACCGAATATTTGGAATGTTAATATTTTACATTTTAGATCCAAAAAAAAAGGCATTAGTGTTATATACATCAACGTCATTTCACGTCATTTAACAACATTTCTTTCTGTCTTGAGAAGGTGCTCATTGAGGGGTTTTAATCGATTATTTGTACTTGAAACAAAGCAAGAAACAAACAAAAAGTCAGATAATTGCATGTTGAAGCTTTTTACTTTCACAGTAATGAAAGATATTCGTTATACTGCAAGGGGGCAGAAACGATTTAGCCGTTCCCTTAATCATGTTACTGAAGGGCAACATAATGGCCCTTGCATTCAACGCCTCTGAAAGACAGGGCATATGCAACATACGCCTATCATTTCTTTTGTTGTTGTTGTTGTGCGTGTGTAATGTAAAGGATCGTAGCATCCATTTAAATAAAATACGGAAAGAAGGGTGAAACTGCATTTCAGACCTGTTATAACTGAAAGCTTTACTAAACATTATTTATTGTAATTTAGGTGCAAGAAGTATTTCCCCATCCATTGATAAATGGAAGCACCTGCCCACTCATCCAATGCCTATTCTACACAGAATGTTTACGGTGCTGAGAAACATTGCATCTTCAAGCATTCGATGGAGCGTACCCACGGAGCGAGAACAATTTCATTGTGATATGCTTAAGGTTTGCGTATAGGGTTAACGTGTTAGAACACAATGAACAATTATTATAAGTGTAGGGTATAACAAATACATACACGTTATCTTCTTTGAGGTGGCCTTTGGTGGGGTGGGTTGCAGAATCATGTTAATATCATTAAAAATAAATGTATACAATTCATATTTTTTGATGTACATGCATTTTCTACAACTTCCTCTTATACTTTATTCTTCATGTTTCTCCTCTCCGTTTTCCTGACTTCACGTTATATTCTGTTTTCTTATTTTTGCTGCCCAAGCAATTGTATCTTAGTAACTATATATGCATGTATTTCAATATTGACAAATTAATTGTAACTGTATTTTATGTTTGAAATATGCAATGAGTGTTTTATTTGTACACATGATCAATTCAGCCATTGGGCTGCGACTCATGTGTTTTCAATAAACCTTGGTTCAATTCAATTCAATTCAGTCATTAACCCTTCAATCATCACCACGTGAATAATAACGATTCTGAATCGGTGTATTTTCTTATTTTTATTTTCAGCCCGTTTCATATTAATTCTTACCAAAAGTGGATCAAGATAGTAAAGAGGAATACAGGTGAGTTTGTCACTAATACTTAATGGTAGGTAGGATCATAAAGTGAAGACATATGAAGTTTTATCTTCAATTTTTTTTGAATTAATACAAATTGCACTGTTGATACACACAGTATACACCCCAATGCGTTGATTTACACCACCGTATTAGTTAAAACAATAATTAATTTAATAAATAATGTTACTAGCAAAAATGCTATAACGCATGAATCATTATGTAGGTTGTTTAACTTTGATTACGTATATGGTGTTTTGTGTTATTTGCACTGTTATTAAATGTGTAGGTATCTAACAATAATGACCCCTGCTACACAATAATGTTTCATCAGTAATGAATGGAACATGAAAGAAAACAACTATTACTCAATTTATATCAGAATAAAATTTCTACAAGCAATTTCTTTTTGTTAATCATTATTCACATATTTAAAAAACAGGGTAGCTCATTCACAATCGTGTTCAACCATGAAGCCCTGTACATAAACAGAGAGAAAGAAAGAAATTAAGGATATACATAAAAAACATGGCCTATCCACATATACACAATGAAGTCAAATTTAAGAAAGTTGGGACATACATACAATAAATGAAGTATCTAGTATCAAGTATCAAGTTCATTTGTCTTCCAGAAAACACATGTGACAAAATATGATAGAGTATAATCATAACAGTACAATGTAGAATAAAGAAAGACGAGGAGACCTTGGTTGAAGCACAGCTTTTTAAGTTAAGGCCCCCTCATATGGTGTGACTACGATAACTGATTCATGAACACAACAACAAATATGGAATATATACTATTCACAAAATACTCTCAGAAAACAACTACCCAACGATGCATCGACCACAGCATGGATGACCACAACAAGTAAACCCGAATTCACAAAGGAGGTTTGTCGACATAAACCTAGGTTTATGTACGTCATATAACGCGTTTGGACGCGTTTTTTTTCAAGCCAGGGGTTAACCTAAGTTAACTCTAAGTTGGACTTAAATATTATGGAAAGCCATTTCTAGCCTTAAAATAAAATATATTCAAAAGCAAAAAAATCAAGTAATTTAGACTTTTTATAAATTCCACATCAAGAACATGAAATCTCCTTGATAATAGAAAATATGAACGATTTGAATAAACATTTCATGCCTTTTAAAATAACCTTTACAAAATATTTTCATAGATGCTAACGGCTTTCCATAATGTCCAACTTAGAGATAAGTTCAACTTAGGATCTTTGTGAAACACCCCCTTGGTTTCCAAAAACGCGTCGAAACGCGTCATATGACGCACGAAAACCTAGGTTTGTCGACAAACCTCCATTGTGAATTCGGGCCACCATGTGTGTTAAAATATATGCCATATGAGCACGAACAACCCACCAATGGGAGGGCGACCTAATATGGACAAACCCAAGACACCAAATCGAGACATCAATAAGTTAATGCTCTCTGAGTGCAGAGGTTAAGTAGGAATATGTGGTATATGTACAGATGGGAACGAAGAAGAAAAAGAAGAGGGATCAAAGGGATTATGTCAAAGTAAAAAAATAACGATTCATTTTTTCTATTAGAGTTAATATGCATGCTCTTATCATCTCATATCCTCGGTTGGTAACCAATCGAATAATCACGGTGATTTTATAAGATTTGGGGTTTTGAGACCGTCCTGTTAATTCATTTGAAAAAAGGGCAGGGTCTGTACTATGTACCATTCCCTCCAAAACATCTAACCCGCCCCCGTGTTGACATGGTTCACTTTAATCACCTGACCATGGATCTACGTGTGAGACATAAGCCAATGATCTGACAATCTACAGTAAAAAAAAAAAAATGAACATAAAAGATATGAACCGATTTTGACATTATATTTGGATGAAACATAAATTAAGCACAACTTAGAAATATATCCTCCACTTATCTGCTTTTAAACTTTAACATGTAATTTGGTGCTTAATAGCCATCTTCTTGTAGCTTTCTTATTTTGAGCCGATCGAGGCATTGGAGTGATTAAAGTTGAATATAATTATGGCAATGCTTGCACCAAATACCGGTATTGTATCAATCGAACCCAACGTGGTCTTGATTTCATTCATTTTTGTATTAATCAATTTACTCTAACTACTGATCTTAAGAATTCCGAAATCATGTTTCATCTTGTTTCCGTTGAAGTTGTTGTGGTTAAACAATATCATAAACAATAAAATCAGTCTATTCTATCATGATTTTCCCGACTAAATTTCCTCCCATGAATATTAAATTTCATTTGCATTATCATAGTTGTGAATGTATTACTATCTCATTACTCACTTCATTTACTCCTTATACCGGCTCATCTTCAGTCTCCTTCCTTTATCATCATTCTCTCTCTCTCTCTCTCTCTCTCTCCGCTCCCTACTTTTCTCACTCGATTTTTGCCCATTCATTCTTTTTACAACTTAAATATGGCAGGAAATGCTATGCTACTGAGAATACTGATAAAAATACACATAGATGAAGAAGCATTTCAGATTTTCTCATTACTTTGTGTCAACCACCCCCCCCCCCCCCGGTAAAAAAAGACATTATGGACGTATGTGTGGTATGTAGATGTCATAAACATATCGTGACTTTAGACGAAATTTCGAGCAAACTCATTAAAGGTAATACAAAGTTTTGGTATAGGGTCATGAATTTGGTTCAAATGAACATATTGGAAGCATATGCGTTCTAACAATATTCAGTGATCGTTGTCGCGGTCGAAATCGACTCTAAAGTTATGAAATTGTAAATAATAAACACTTTATGTTGAATAGCTCCCTCTCAAGGTCAAGATAGTAATTAAGTTATAAAACAATGTTTATTGACTAAAATCGACCGATTAGATATTCCCGTTCGGAAATTATATACCACAACTACATATTCTGATATTGTCATGGTCGCAGCTACCATTGTATGGCCGTAGGAGCTTTTATGAAATTTATCAACATTTACCGGGAGCACCGGTAAATCTTTATATTCAATATTTCTCGAAAGCAGAAGTGTTTCAGGGGCTAAAATTTCTAGTACGTTTAATACATCCACAGGGGCATCCAACTATATCAAAATTGTAAAGATTCACTATCCACCCATTTTCAAAATTTCCCAAAACTTTGTAATACCTTTAAATATGTTTCGATTGAATAGGCCGCGTCCCTCTATGTGCTCTACTTTCTCTCGGAGACATCTCCAAAGCGAGAAATGAATTGAAGCGGCTCGGGATCACTGGTATGTACGAAATACCTTACCGTGATGACATGCGCTCAGATAAGGGTCAGTTGCAGTGGCTTGACCTCCTACGTGGATGCCTTCACGAAGGTGACAGAGCAAGGTATGAGAAACAGATGAGCTCATTGGTCGCAGAAATGACGAAGAAACTGGAGTCTAAGCAACATCATGTAGACACTTTAACAGAAATCTTAGAGGAGAAAGAGCGATATGAGACGACTCTAACACAACAAGTTGAAGAGCTCAAGAAAGGAAGAGAGGATGACAGAGCAAAATCTGAAAAAGATAAGCGGTCATTGACCGCAGATATGACGAAGAAACTCGAGTCTAAGCAACAGCACGTAGACTCTTTGACAGAAATTGTACAGGAGAAAGAGCGAAATGAGACGACTCTAACACAAAAAGTTGAAGAGCTAAAGAAAGGAAGAGAAGAAGACAGAACAAGAGCTGAAAAAAACAAGCTCTTATTGGCAGCAGAAATGACAAAGAAACTCGAGTCTAAGCAACAGCATGTAGACTCTTTGACAGAAATTGTACAGGAGAAAGAGCGAAATGAGACGACTCTAACACAAACAGTTAAAGAGCTAATGACAGGAAGAGAGGAAGACAGAGCAAAAGCTGAAAAAGACAAGTGCTTATTGGCAGCAGATGTGACGAAGAAACTCGAGTCTAAGCAACAACGCGTAGACACTTTGACAGAAACCGTAGAGGAGAAAGGCCGAAATGAGACGACTCTAAGACAGCAAGTTCAGGAGCAAAAGAAAGGAAGAGAGGAAGACAGAGCAAGAGCTGAGAAGGACATACGATCAATAGAATTAAGCTGGAAGAAGGAGCATGACTCAAAGGAACAGCTTTTGGAGCAACTTGAGCGTGAGATCTGGAAGCTGAGAACCAAAATTCAATTAGAAAGTGAGATACGATCAGCAGAGCAGAAGAAGAAAGCAGAGACACAACAATGGAGTTTCATTCCTTGGGTGACCTCTGGGAAACAAGCTCAGGGGGGTAAGACTTTGTTTTTCAACCTTATTTTCCTTTTCAACTCCTTTTTTTAAAATATACATCTTACTATTTAACTCCCATTCCATTTTTGGTTACTTTTTAAAATATTTATAATGTGAAGTTTATCAATTCTAATATGGTTCTAAACCTAGATTTTATTGTTCTTGTTTTGTTTTAGTTGTCATTAAGCCAACAATAACGCCATTCGATTACATTATCCAAGGAAACTAGAGCTACACTTATGTATATGATTTGCATTATTTACATTTTAGAAGTTAAAAAAAACACATGGAGATACAGTGAACGATAAAGATCATTTAAAAACATTTATCTTATATGTTATTTTTTACATTCAAACTGACTTCATTCCTTCATGACAGGCACATCATCTTTTGAGGATAATTCAACCGGAGGACTGGGAAGGAGTGATACATTACAAGCAGGGTGAGATAAAATATATATACTCTATGACAATGAACGCATTATTGATCTTGCAGTGACAAAACTACTATGGAATGTACTTTTGTATGTGAAATGAGTGATGCTAGACTGGCAATAACAGTTATAAAAGTACGACAGCACTTATGTTCTATGAATAAAAAATCATGACCACCTGTGATTATGTAGAAGCAGAAGTGAATACAAGATTACAACTCATTAACAAAAAATGATTATCTTAGCTGCATTCTTGTCTATGGTGATTAGATTTAAAAGTAAAATCCTTTCATGAATTGATATCAATAATTTGAGCATGTTGAGTATGGTCTCATCACTGGAAGAACGTATTTTTCCCTTCCTATCTTCACCTAAGTAAAGATTTTACTTGACTTTTTAAGTGTATATGTCATACCAACGTTCTCTGACCACCCCAAGTTTGTCTTTTTTTTTTGTTTACCGTGTACCATTCTAGAGAGGAGCCCCCAGATGATGAGTTTGCAGGCATATTACAGCAGATAGCTGACGATCTTTACGATGAAGCCAAGATCGACAGCCTTGCTGGTCAGCTGGGAATCCTACATGGTGATATACAGAGAGCGCTCATGACCAATGTGAAGTTCAACCGAGTTACCAGTGATGGAACTCGTCACATGCTGAAACAATGGAGAAGAGGTGTGTCCAGGAAAAATGAACGGGTTGAGCTAACGAAGGCGCTGAAAGCTGCCAAGTTAGTCAACCTTGCAGACCTGTATCTCAGCGAAGGTAACGTATATTTTCATTAAGAACAATAAATTGTAGTTTCGTAATAAGGACCCCATTCAACACTTCAGCAACGTGCTGTTATATTTGGTGTACAATACGGCCCATGTGTTTAGAGACAGATTTATAGTATTTTCTGAAACAAGTTCATTTCCCTCATTTACACTGCTGATAATTTTTTTAAATAAATACTATTAAAGGAGAGAAATTGAATGAAAGGAGAGCTTAGGTACTACTTTTAGTAAGCATTTTTCTTATTATAGATGGTAGACATTAAAATTTAAAAATTCCATGCGATAAGTTCTACAAAATCATGATAGTTCTGATTCAATGTGTTTTGAGAAATAAAACAATTATTTGCTTTCTTTCTTGCTGCCGGTCAGGTGGAGCAGAAGAACAGATCGATGCTGAATATGCCAACGTAGACGTCAATGATCAGTAGCTACCTTATAGAGATGAGAACATTCTAGAACAGGGCCAGACCAAAGGACATACTGACATCCAGGTACTTCAGGAAGCTACAGCAAGCAGTAACCACACTCCTCGAGATGAGCATACAGGAGACATGGCTTCCACAACCCAGGAGGACTTGACAGGTGGAAGTAGGAGTCAACATCTTGTTCAATCACGGGAGCACAGTACAGAGGACTTGGATGAATCTGAAGTGACTTCTGAAGAGGTGTCCTCTGAAGAAGTACTTCCCGATGATATGAACAACGTTAGTAGCATTCAACCTTCTGAACAATCGCCCAGCAATGAAATGCAAGTTCTACCTGAAGACATGTCTGAGATAGCCCCTCTGGTATCTTATGGTGGGAAACCCAACGAGGAATCCACCACCTTGGATAAAAGCCATGTAGGCGGAATCATAAGTAACGAAGAAGACCTGATTTCCCAACTCGTTCTTACTGATACATCCCCAGAGAAAATATTGCTCTTTTTCCTCGTAAAGATAATAATGGATGTTTCCCAGAAAGCACTCAGCTCATAAGTAATTACCAGATAACCTTTATCAAGTCAAGTTTACTTACGTTTGTTTAGCTTGCGACGTTTCAGGTCCACTCCGGGACCCTTCCTTCAGGGCGACTGGTCTTTAGTGTCAAATGATTGTTGACCCATGAACACGGTGATGTGGTCGAGGAGCGTCGGTATGGTCGGCCTGACGAAGCGTTATAGACATAATCTCCATAATCATTAACCGAACCATATTGTATCCAAGTACCGCATACATAATTTCAACAATGTGAATCCTCTAAAATATTACAAGAATGGCATGCAGAGCGTGATATTTCATAATGTGATTTGAAATTTCTTTTGGCAAGATATCTGGATATAGAAATTTAACCGATTCTAGCAGTTATTTTAACCGGAGCAATTTTAATTTATTGTTGTACTTTAATCTGCCAAAAAGATATTAGGTTTGATCAATCCTAAACTATTATTTTTTAACATTTTACTATACTTTTTTAAATAAATCTTAATTTGAAGCAGTAGAATCGAATTATGTCAAATAGAAAAGCTACAACACTCGTTGCTATATCTGTACCAACCGCATTTTAGAACAGTAGTTAAAACAAGAGTTACTTATTTTTTAAAGACAGTTTCTTGACCAGATCTCAAAAATATATCTAACTGTTTTTAATGTCTTAAATTACACAGATTATACAAGAAGATTTAGATGTAGACATGGTAGATGTAGGCCAATACGGTAGAACAGATAACCAATTGGCTGAATACTATTTAAGCAGAAACTCATTTTACTGTACATAGATGTGGTCATACACTGGGAATGCAAAGATTAACTATGAAAGAAACTTCCGTAATTTCTTGATACAAGATACTCAATAGATGAACATTTATTGCTTTGCGCTTGTTACATCAATCGTTAGTACTCTGTATAAACAAAAATTCTCTCCGCATTGAACGTAAATAAACAATAATCGCATGTACAGTATGCAGGCGTATCGGCGTGAAATATCTTATGGGCTTTAATAGTCGGCATACCAGATCAAGCAACTCTAGATTGTTGTGTATCGTCGAATTGCAAACGTATATTTTGCTGTATAGCACTTAGAAAATGCCAGTCGTTCATATAAATTGTGTTTAATATTTTAAGTCATATGCAATTGTCACCATGCATATTACAATGTACATTTATGTACATGATACTCTGAAAATTATGTACGAAATAAAGTGACATGACTTTTGGTTATAATGTAAGCTACTATTTCTAACAATAATCGCATGTACAGTATGCAGGCGTATCTGCGGGCAAAATATCGTTTGGGCTTAGTTGGCATCCTAAATCAAGTAGGCCTTACTCTTGATATCTGTGTTTCCTCGAATTGCAAATGTATGTGTTGCTGTATAGCACTTGGCAAATGTTAGTTGATCATAGAAATTATATTTGATATCTTATGTCATATGCAATTGTCATTACAATAGCGGGGAAAATGTATGTAGATGATACTCTAATTATGTAAGAAATAGAGTGACATGACTTTTGATTTCATTTGGAATATGTAAGCTGCTAAATGGTAATACAATTTCTTTGTCTTTACATAGTTTGTAATGGCTTAGTAGACAAAACATTGCTTTTGCTTCTTTTCAATTCAAGATAACAGCATAATGTTGTAGGTTGTACTTTTTTGCGTTCAGTCAAATGTTACCATTTACGCCTGCATGGTCTGGTTCTTTAATAGTTATATCAATCAAGGCAGTCGAGTCGCAAGAGTACCTAGCTTGGGAACTATGTGCGTCTAGCTGTTCTTCGCTGGTCGACTGCTGATCGTCCGGCCAACCTTGGAGAATCTGGCCGGTTCTTATATTTTATTTCTATAATATTCCCTACACTTGCTGCAAGACGCCGAAGATGGCGTTATCAACGAACTCGTACGCCCAGCTTATTCTTGCCGGTTGGCGCATATTTTTTTTACACAACTGTTAAGCCATTTTCGCGAAAAAATCCAAGAAGTGCTCTGGTGAAAGAGTCTAAGTCGTCAGCGCACTATGTGCAAGCACGCATCCAGGGAAGGGAAGATGATAGAAATTAGGGGAAACTGACAAGGAAAGTGGAGAGGATATGGAGAAGGAAAAACAAGGAAACACACAAGGAAAGAGAATGGGGATAAGTCAAAGGAAGAACATATAAATACATAATTGAAGAGCTAAGAGGATCATAGATCTAGACTAAGGAAAACAGCGAAATACATAAAAAAAAATATTAAAAAAAAGGTCGAGAAAGGGATGTAGACGGTAGACCTATATCAGATTAAAACAAAGAAATAGATGACGAAGGAGAAAAGGATAGATTGAAGGAGAAACAAAGAAATACATAAAACAAAATAGAAGAGGTTAGAATGAAGGAGAACAAAAGAAATACATAACGAAGGGGACAGACTGGGGGATTGAAGGAAAAATAAAGAAATATATAACGACGGAGAAAAAGGATAGATAGAAGGGTAAAAAATACATGACAAAAGAGAAGAGCATAGATTGAAGGAGAACACAGAAATACATAATGAAAGAGAAGAGAGGATAGATTTAACCCGAAACAAATAACGACTATGTACACATGTACAGCTCCAGCAATCCAACAAAACTACTAAGGGTAATGCTAGACTCTGTCTCGAGTCGTTTGCACAATATATTTGACTGAAGTGGCTAAACAGTTGTGTAAAATAAATATGTACTGCCGGCTGGTATATAATTGTCTCTATAATATTCCCTAGACACGCTGCGAGCCCGCCGAAGATGGCGTTATCAACAAACTCGTACACCCAGCTTTAATCTGGTCGATTCTTATAATTGATTTCTATTAATATTGCCTCCATCACCGAACTCATACGCCCACACACTTTATGTACTCGACTTTTAGTACCCGAGATTGAAATTGAGTAAATATCATTGGTCTGTTTCAAAGTCCTTGCTTGTCTAGTAAGCATACTCACACGTTAGCTGACGTGACAATTATGAGATGTATTGAAGTTTCACTTCACATGCTTTTGATGTATCAAGTTGATTAGTCACATTACGGTCCATGTCGCATACAGTGAACAACAAACTATTCATATCCCTGGTAAATTTGATATTTCTGGATTGTTTTTGTTTTTGTAACTCATGAATGAAAGGCTGAATTAGGGCCTTTTTAATGTAAGCATCAATATGTCACATTATCAAGAAACATAAATTGGGACAAACTATTTGTTCACACACTTACAATTGGTACGGGTACGAATGATTTAGTCGCTA